CGCAATTAACGAGAGGGCAGCGATAGATCTAAAAGAAAAAATGTAGTCTAATTCCTCACCCCGGTATCTATATTCATCATACCATAACCTGTAAGCAGGACAAAACGAAATTTAGCCAACCACCTCAAAGGTTGATAGCACCTGCACAAAAATGCAAAGAAACCCAGCATGATCAGATTCCCTTGCAGTCCACAAAATAGAAGAATTGACACTCCCATTACAACGCATAGCACTTCCAAAATAAATAAAGAACAAGATTTAGGAACCCTACGAATTGATAACATAACTGTAATCAAGAAGTATTGGTATAGCAGCGCTTCATAAACCCTTGTAAAAATCTTCCCCATCGTAACTGGAATGAAAAGGACAATTTGAGAACAGAATAAAAACGAACGTCCAAAGTCACATCAAAGTAGGATGATAAGGGGTAGCGGAATTGGGAACGTTGGATAAAAATACCTGTTAATCGCCAAAATGATGATGAGAAAACAAGCTAGTAGGTGAAGTGGACGAACACAAACCCACCGCCTAACCATGATTGATAAAAAAGTAGCCACTTTTTAGCGGAGGTAAATGTTTTTACGTGGAGAGTTGAAAGCGGATGAAGTTGCAGATGTTGGCGAAGAGTGCCTTGCCTTCCTCCATTGCAGCCAGGATGGAGGCAAACGCGTCATCGAGGAGGACGACGTCTGCAGCCTCCTTACAGACATCAGTGCCACTAGCACCCATGGCTACTCCGATGTCGGCGGACTTCAGTGCGATTGCATCATTTACGCCGTCTCCAGTCATTGCTACCACAAGGCCGCGGTTTTGCAGCGCCTGACAAACAGACAGGCAGACGCATCTGTGATAACAGGATTTTCTTGTCATGACCCAAGCTCCCAAACAAGCAGCAGAAGTGTTTGAATACGCTTTTGCCAAATATGATAATCAACTAAAGCATCCCCACTGAAATAATATTGAGTTTACTAAAGTGAGAAAGACCAGTTAGAAGGGATAAAGTAAAATGCATAACTATAGGGCATAGAGGCCTTCTGGTTCGAGATCACAAATGCAAACTTTAAATAAAGAAATTGACAAGAATTTAAAACTGCTTATGAAAGAAATTTGACATTCAGTTAGCTCCATAAAGAGTCCCCTTACAAACAGTATTTTACCTTAACGATCTTACACTTATGACGCGGGCCAGTACGATAGAAGACGGTGACACTGTGGATTTGCGACTGTAGCTGATGAATGTCCATTGTGTCTACCTCATCTCCACTTAAGCACACATCACCTGGTCGATAGAGTGAAAGACGAGATCCTGAAACAGAATGGTTTTGAGGATGTAAATGCCACACACTTGAAAGTAACTGTGTTGTCAAAAGAATGCCTCACCGATAGCACAAGCAGTCTCCTTTGAGTCACCAGTGATCATGATAACGCGTACACCAGATCGATAGCACTTCTCTAATGCGTCCTCCACATCAGGTCTCGGTGGATCTAGCAGACCCACCAGCCCGGCAAAAATAAAGTCTCTATCAACAGAGGAGCCCTCTGCGAGTGCTAGGATTCGTAGACCACTACCCGCTGCCATGCGTGATGCCTCCGTTAAAACGTTCCGACGCTCGGATTCGCCTAATGGTGTCACTGGCCCCAACTCGGTGGCAGTGGTAACGGCTGCGGATCGGTAATGCGTACAGAGCGGTATCACACGGTCCGGTGCGCCTTTGATGAAATAGGTAGAGGTGCAGGGTTTCTGAAATAGCCGAAAAGGTTATTAATGCCTCATCCGCTAGGGAGGGATTTTGCATCGGAAGTTCAGATAAGAGGCACAGTGAATAGTTAAGTCTAATGGTAAATTAAAAGGTTATACTAGACTTGCTATGCTTTTGAATTCTAAAAATTCAATTCACCTTTGAGTTAGATACAATTTCTAATGTAGCCGCCTAGATTTCAAGATCAAAACGTACCAAGGTAAAATTTATTGACCATGGAGAATGAGTTCCAATAGGAGAACGCAAAACACCCATTTGATTTCACAATACTCACGCAATCGCGGTTTTGAAATATCGGAAGAGAATTTGTGCAATGCACTAGACTAAGAACCAAGGGTCCCAAATCTAACAACATCTTTTGATGACGCATTCTCCGCTAGTGTCATAAACGTGACGCCACAATTTACTTAAGCGAAACTTTAGCAACAAACAAGACAAGTAGCCCCAATAAATTTCACCTGAAAACAGACGGACCGGTTGGATTTCTAATGAGATTACATTACTTCAAGTGACATAAGGCAAGAAGCACAATGACATTCTCAAATTAAAGCAGAGTCCACAATGAAAACTAAGCTCAACGTCTTGAGCGCATTTCTCAGTATGCAAAGCGGTGTCGATTGGTGGTTCTTTGAGCACCAACTACCTTGTGGTGTCTGACTTAGAAGGAATCACTGACGACACTCATTTTGCTTAACTGAATAGATGCTAAACTCTTTCCAAACCTCCATACAGGTTCTCAGACTGTTCTGCAAGTTAGAAAAGCGGTAAAATCTTGCACAACACTTTGGCCTGTTACAACGTTAGCGAAGACTCGATGCGATACACAACGAATAGGATATCTTGTTTTCGTCAAAAGCTAAGTGAATTACATAGTCATTACGACTTTTGATGGAGAAATACGAGTTTGGTGGTGCCTCAATGTTTAAAAACAGTGAAACTGACTGCAAAACAATCCAATATCCGAGCTGCTTACACTAAGTCTTGCAGAGCCAACTTGCACGACCATCAATTTCTGGTCTGAATTGAATGGCCACTCCTTCACCCTTGTGTTCATCAATCGTGGATCAGGGATTTGCATCTGCATCAGAAGTCATATTTAAAGATGCGCATTTTAAGAGAAGGCAAATAAAGACGAAAAATCGAATTGACGTTCATAAAAATTTACGTAGTGAATAAATCAACAACGGTGAAAGGCAGTGATCACAAAAAATAATTAGAAATTGGGGAGACGCTTACTTTTGCCGCTAAGCAAAGCAGAGCGCCTTCCGTGGGTTGTCCACAGAGAACTCCATCCTTCAGTGAGGCGTTATTACATAGTGCTCCGATCTTAAATGATTGACAATAGTTGTGACTCGTGTACCTGCTCCGCTTTGTTTAAACAGATGAAAAAATCATACAAGGAAATCGCATTTTACTGATAGCCTAAAAAATTGCACACCAAAATACAGTCTAGTGTAGAATTAACCTGTTAAAGAGAATTTATTCCTATTTAGTGAATAATTAAATCTTATAGCACCCCATTCGACAAACGAGTAGATACGGGTTCGAAGATAGATGCTGGAGGAAATCGCAGTAGCCAATTTTCATGCGTTTAAAATAAACGTCATATGTGACCATTCGGGCCAAATGTTTTCCTTACTTCATGAATTTTCCTCAAATGACAGTTTAGATTTTTTTGCGTAAGATACTGCCGAGAGGACTCAAAAATTTTGCATGAAGCTGATTTCACACATCTTACCAAGATAGGCTCAAGGGTTGTGGATGAGAATTCCCAGTTCCATCATTATATACTATGAAAAAACAATGCCAATGCATTCCTCAATTATTTACAGCCTCCTCTCCCAAAAAAACCAAAAAGGCGGGTCGCAGAATTTAATAACAAACGAAGGCTAAATTTGATTGGTCAGCAACTGCCAATCAAAGGAACGACTCAGAGCAACAAATCCTACCCACTCGTCGAATAAATTATGCCAAACCCGTCTTGCTCATAGATGAATGATCTATCTCCTCACAAGAATCTAGAATTAATAGAGTCAATTTCACACTCACAGTTATTTTGATCATAAGCATTTTCTAGAGTTTTTTAAGAGGTTATTGAAACACTACAGTTCAGCCCAGAAAATTAACATAATATGACTGCCAGCTATTTAGATGGGTTACAATTACAACGTCCCCTCTCTTTCCCTTTGAAATCAACAAGAGCATGGTTCTTTCAACCTACTCTAAAATGAACTTAGATTTAAACTGGCTAGTGCTTAACGGGTAGTAATTTTAACCTACCTCAACCAATCGGTGAAGGTTAGCATGGCGAATAGCAGAGCGCGTCCTGTCATCGTGATCTAGGATGACCTCCCCATCCGATGGACTGTACCCCACACCACTTACAGTTGCGCGTTCCATGGCGCTAGTGACCACGTGTGTCACTGTCATCTCGTTCTTTGTCATGGTTCCCGTCTTGTCAGCGCAAATCACGTTAACGCAGCCTGTGCCAAGATTAAAAGATCGGACATTCTCAAAGCTCGTCTTCAAAGCCGTTTAGATGAAAAAAAATGGAGAGAAAAGGTTCCAGACACTGAACTATTACCAAAAGATAGTCAGAATCACTTATCGTCTTTTGGTCATAACGAATCACTTAACATCATACCGCTAAGCTTGGTTCTAGAGTTTGTTTGTTTATTTGGGTGAAATAGCACAGAAAATTAGTAGAGTAATATCAAAGGGTAATGGGAATCAGACTTCCCAAAGTTCATCCAGATCGGTATAATGCCGTAAAACGAACAGTATAATTTATCACCCTATTTAACGCGAATTTTTACTCGATACAGCCACAAATTGTGCTTTGAGGTTTCTGGTATTTCACTAGAATAAATGATAACAAAACCTGGCATCTGAAGCTCCAAAGTCCAGACTTCAGATAAAATAATAATGAGGAGTTATTTAGAAAAGCAGTTGACGTCCACTTATTCAAAAAATAGGCTTTCCTACAGCCTCTAAGACCTGCCAGAAAGATGGTTAAACACAATTGCCTACGAGGATGGAACCCTTTAGAATGACCAAGATGTTCGAATATAGTTCCTTACATAAAACAGTTTCGGAGATTTCCTTGATGTAAGGCATGTTGTAAAGCTGAAAGCAACCCTCCGGATCAAAAGGGACACCTACACAGAGGTTTGCACCTTTGGGAAGACCACAGCAGAGGCCTGGATAGATGAAACTCATCCGCATGCAGTTGGAAATGGATAAGTACTTCCTCAGAAAAAGCCAGGACAGGAAGAACAGGTGAGCTGATGTAATTGAGCTTTCATCCTCATGAGACAATACAAGACTCCTTATTATCATAAAAATAATACCAAGGAGGAGAATAAACTCCGTAATTAATTAAAAGGCGAGAAGTAGCAGTAAAACTACCTCTGACTTTCCCTTAGCATTGGATAGCAGCATAATCACGCGCCACCACGTCATACCTATGCGACGCGTTTTTCACGAAATACAATGTGATTGCAAGAAAATTGTGGTCTAGAAATAAATGAACCTCATTTTTGGGTTTCGGATGACACCTGAATTTTTCACTATGGTGTTTGATTTTCCTCAACAGAGTCCGAATTTATCATCTCATCTTATGTTGCCAAGGGGTGGCACCATGGCAGCCTTAAAACAGAAGCGTGGTACACGGTAAAAAAGGAGACTGATAGTATTTGGTCAGTTGCTTGAAATTGAGTATTACGAAAAGGTCTAGCAGACACCCTCGGCAAAGGTAAAGATAAACTCTCAGGGCTTGGGTATTTTTTCAGCGCATAGACCAAGGATTTCAAAAATTTTGACAGCAACGATGTCATGATATTATCAATGATCCTATGGAGTGTAAGACCGCCCTTAACAATATTTGCTAGAATGGACGCCAAATAACTTATTATGAGGTTTGATACCCGGAATACATTCCTCCGCTTGAACTCAAGACCATGCTGCAAGGCATTTTGTCGTTTCAAATACACGATCCTGTTGAAAGTTAGCCTGTAATTTGGAACCTCAGATAGCAGTTTGGCGCCAAATGGTTGTGAACAACCTGCTAATAGAGCCCTCAAAGAAGAGTTGCACAAGCAAGGAATTTCTTGGCACCGATTCCAGCGATCACTTTGGAAAAGAATTCGTGCATGAACGAGTTACCACTAAGAGTGCTTACTGAAAGGTCCACATTCCAAACATTTGTCGATTTCAAATGAGGACTCCACCAAATACCAGCCTTGGAAAAATGAGTGAATGATGCATATGAACTCACTATATAAGGAACATGAAAGGATTTGGAACAGCGGAATAGGGAAATAGGGATTAGCCAAACCAGCGTAGTTTGCAGGTTCGCTTCATGGAATCATTAGCAAGCTGATATGTCGAGTCAGTGATGATTTCAGCAATTGATAGAAGTCGAAACCGATAATGAAGTTGTTTGTCTCAATTTTGCAAAAAATTTCTTAGCGCTTAGAATGATGGATGCGTTTACTAACTAGAAAAAATTTAGCAAGCGAGGGAAATTAATAATTACTTCTCAAAAATTCAATTCAAAATGCTTTTTGAAGAGGTAAAAAAGAAACCTGAGACTTAAATAAAAAGTAGGTGCTTTTGCAAGCAAACCAAGACACAGGAGCCAAGAAATTGATGAACCTCTTTCGAGAATCCAAAACACTAGGTAACTGAAGACAAGTGACAGACTAGGTTCAGTTGATTTTCGGAATCAAGATAGACAGCAAATGAGCCAATTGGACCGGTAGGTACGTTAATTACGCACTCATTATGAACTTGCTAAGGCAAAAAGGTTACCAATTTTCTAGACAGGTGCAAGCGCCTAGACACAATCAATAAGTGCGCCGCTGTTCCTGAGTTAGAGACAAGGGCGGCTCACTTGGATGGAAAATCGAAGGTGAGCCGACTTCTCAAACTCTTCTTCCCAATGTTAAGGGCGTACAGCTTCTCTGAGTGACACCATAGCCCATAGTCCACGAAAGTTTAGCCTAAACTTAGTAACTTGAATAGACCTAATTTTAGATCCTACCAATTGCCCTAAGGTATCATGATATTTCTTCGGAAAATTTACGGGAGGCCTTGCACAAAACACTGAAAAGCTTCAAGCATTCTTGCAGAATTTATGCATTCTACCATGTCCATAAGCCACTATTGTGTTCGTTTAAAATTCGCCCCATCACTAAAAGAGCATTCATTATGTCCATTTGAGTGGCTAAAAAGGCTTTATGCAGAAACGAACACAGGACTGTGCAAAGGTTATGTATTTCTGCGGTCTAGTAGACCAGTGGCACGAAAGTACCTATGTATCTCCACAATGTTAAGCAATGCATGAGAAAACATTAAAATTTTAGTCGAGACTTGAACTAAACAGAGAACCAAATGCCAAAGAATGAGTTGACTCCAGTAAAGAAGGCGATAAAGTCACGTTTAATTGAGCCGTAAAATTATCCCGAGAAGTTAGCACAATTTTGTAAGAATAGCTCGTATTTTAATTGTAGTTTATTTCCAGACTATGATTTTCGACATGTGAACATTACCAAGCATAAAAGCCACTGGTTTTGTTAATGAATGATTTCATCTGACATCCGAACCCAAATAAGCTTGAGCCCATTTCCCATTTACACAGCTCTACCAAATCGGCTATAGAATCCGGACAATGAAATATTGACAGTTATCCGTTGTTCGTACAGATGCTTCATGCACCATTTGTATCTCCAAATGCAAAAAAGGTACTTGCAGTAGTCTTCCTGTGTGATTGAATGCAAGCTTAGATAATCAGAGTAAATTAAAATAAAATGCCGCATTCATCGACCCGACATAACTCGGGTAGTTTGAAGTAGACCGGAAACTAGCGACTCTGGTAAATCATAGGACAGAAGTGCACGCCAAAGGAGAGTTCTGATCCATTGATTGCGGGATAACAAGGACAAAACTGCTTTTTGGATTCGGATTAATATTCAGTGATATATGCAATGGTTAAGACAATTTTAGACAGGGAAAATCGCTTTTATTTCTAGACGGAGCTAAATCGTTTCCAAGTTCAGAGGAGTAGACAGTTTTGAAGACGTCTATGTGATCACCTATATTTCAACCACTATCCTAAGGGCATTTATTCGAACAGCTTAATGATCGGAAAATATAGCCTAAACTATTAAAATCAGTTCAAAGTTAACCATGTAGAAACCATTTCTTACCCAACGTCTCAACAGCAGGCAACCTTTTTATTATGGCATTCCTTGTAGCCATTCTCATTTGGCCAATGGCTAAAGTGACTGTCACCACGATAGGCAAACCCTCAGGGATCGCGGCCACAGCAAGACTGAAAGGTTAACACAAATACTTAGACAGATCTCATAGAATATAACAGGCTGAAAGCCACTATGCTCACCTGACAGCCACAGTAATAAGCTCCAAGATATTCCTCCCCTGGATAAGGCCAAGGAACACAATTCCGAGAATAATGACACCTGAGATAATCGATAAATGCTTTCCTAATCGATCCATGCTCTTCTGCAGAGGTGTCCTCGGAGCCTCTTCTATCTTCATCATCTTAAAAACTTCGCCAAATTCGGAGTACTCCCCAGTTGCTATAACAACGCCAACCGCATTACCCGAACAGACCAGAGTGCCCATGAAAGCGATGTTGGTAAGACAATGAGTCCCTTCGATTCGTTTCGAAGGAAGGAGAGGCGATGTGGTGTTCCCGAAATTTATTATAGTCTCTCCATCCCCCCATGAACCCGCAAAGCTGTCGTTACGCTTGAACACGGTGCTAGAGGCAGAATCCGGAAACGACTTGGAAGGCGAAACACCTTCGATGGTCTTCGATATACAAGGATCAGACGGTTGCGAGGGGAGGCGAGTGGAGCGCTTGGCAACAGCCTTTGTCTCTCCAGTCAGATTTGACTCGTCAATTCGTAAATCAGAGGATTCAATAATGCGCAGATCGGCAGGAACGCGATCCCCAAGAACGAGATGAACGATATCACCAGGAACGAGATTAGATGCGACCATTGAATGAAGCTTCCCTTCACGCAAGCTAAATTAACACGACGGTTATGAAGAGATACACATACCAATTACACTTGGGAGGCATTAGCTTTTTCAGCGACTCGATTGCTTTCTCTGACCTGTAGCCCTGTATGAAACCCACTGTGACCACAATGAAAATGGCCTAACAGGTAAACAAGTAGACCAAACCAGCATACCGTGGAAATGCTAACAGCATCGTCAAACTGCCCCATGAGTATGCTTACAAAGGAGGAGATAATGAGAAGGCCGATCATAGGTTCAAGGAATTGTTTCAAGTATTTTAGCCATAGCGGGTCAGGTGGCTCTGCTTTAAACTCATTAGGTCCAATTTCCGCATATCTGCGCAAGGCTTCAGCGTTGGTCAGGCCAGTTTTAAGGTCAACCTGTGGATTTTAAGTTAAACAATGAAGCAATCCCTTACCTTCAATATGCTAAGAACCTCATCAGCACTGCGCAAAGAAGCAGATTGACATTTGATATGTGAAACCATTGTATTGGTAAAGCGGGACCAAACTTCAAGACGCCCAGTGATCACGCGGGCCAAGATCAAGCTCGCGAGTTTAACTGACCTTGAGGAAAGCCATAAAGCTTTAAGCAAAGGTGTCCGACAACTTGCCAAAACTATTACACCCTAAAAGGATCGCTAAACATAAATTTTGCATAAAGTTGTTTAATTTTATACATCTTGCTTTATTTAATTAATTGGCAACAAATGGATTTATTAGGAATGCCTTAAATGAAACATTAGGACTAAACCTTAAAACCTTGATTTCTCACTAGCTAGCCTACTGTATTTAGTTCGATTTGTATACAGTACACACATGCAACCTAAGTTTGTAGCTTAATGGCTAGTGTAGAAACTACCTGCCTTCCCTCATGACCTTGAACCACGGACTTCAAGAGAGGGCTAAGTTTAGAAGATTTATTTGGCGTTAGATACAGGGAGAATAGGGATTGGAGCACAGGTGAATCGAATAGATGATATCACCTGGAGAGAGACTCCTCACGGTCCTCGTGCAAGTGATCCACGTTCAAGTTCAGTTCCCGCCTCTCCCCTATAAAGGTCAACTTAAACACTCCAGTATATGCTACATTCATTCCATCCTAATCTTTATTTTGCAACTTCATTTAGTATCGAATGTGGCGTTACGGTAGCAATGCAAATTTAGTGATACAAAGTTATCAGTTGAAGCATTTTTTAGCTAACGTATCGTCTAAGATGCGGGGCCAAAGAGCTACAGAAATGGTTTAAAAGATCCTCCAAAGGGCATAATAGAACTTGCAGAAACAGAGAGTTCAAGATCTTTAAAGCAATTCTTGACCGTTTTAGCTGATCATCATTTCATGTCTCAGTGTTCCATTGCTAATCCAACCGTAAGGATAGCCTCCGCCACCGAAGCTTTCCGATTTCTGCAAAGTCCGGAAGCGGATCGCATGTCCACGGCTATTTATCTCTTACAAACTAGTGGTATTAAAGCATTTCTATGGTTCTCCATGCTATGCTTTCAGCAACTCTGCTACGTTTACTAACTAAATAAAATGCTCAGTAAGTTTCGTAGGAAGTAATATATTCACTTTATGGGGGTCTGAGAAATCGGAAGGTTGAGAAAGTGGGACTAAATATTGTCCAAAGTTTAAAATAATTCACTGATAAGATAAAAAAGTGAGGCGCAATTAAATTAGTTATAAAAGTCAATGCATAAGACCTTCGAGGTCGGGGTAGGATGGTGGCCATTTAATCGGCTTGGTCGGAACTGAGTCCAAATTCAACCCAAATAATCGGATACGAAGTTCCAAGTTGGAGATAAGGTTAACGTCGTCCGCGAATGCAGCACTGGTAAACTGAAAAAAATGAAAAGTTTGACCATTATTATCTCTCTCCTCAAGGACTGCGAAGGTGTGGCATATAAAACTAGCCTTCTCCTTCCGGAGACAACTAAAGCCATCAATCCACGAGGTTTGGATGTACTCCGATGGGGCTCCGAGAACGATTTGATTGCGTCGATTTTGTTTCGCTGACGAGGGTCGCAATATAATATCCATCTCTTGGTCAGTTGGTTGCTCAGTATCAATCGTCAAGACAACAGACTATAGGAGAAAAATAAACATTCGACAAGGTCGGCTTTCAAAATGCCCAGTTTTTATTACCTACTGCTTCTCTCCCTGCTATAGTTTGAGGGAAGATGAATTAATAGCATGGGACATTTAATCGCGCAGAGGTTGCTAGCTTAGTACATATTTTATACGCAGATATGTTTTAACTTTTAAAATTATAAGGAAATACTTCTCATATCTTGGACGTGCAGTTTTAAGAAAAAAAGTTACCCAATCTCGCTGCTTCCCCTTCCTGAAATAAGGACTAGGAGCCATTGTAACAATTGACGAGAGAGGCCCTTAAATGTAAAAACCTGTGTGAACATTTCTGTAGTCAATCGTTCAGCACTTTTTTTCCAAAAAATGCATACATATTTCTACAATATGGTTGCTGGAATCCCGAACAAGCAAAAGATTTTGGTCCGACGATAGGGAGACACGCAAGCGCTGCATTCCTGAGGTTATATAACAAAAAATAAACTCAATTAATTGCTAAAATTTATTTTTTGAACCCTGTTAGTCTGCGTAGATAGTCTATTTCCTAAATACAAAACCTAATACTCAATGACGAAAGTGTATTGGTGCAGAATTTCGAGAAAAAAGGAACTGAGCAACCTTTTCTTGTATGTCTCATGTAGACCAACGGTGGACCGTGACACATTGTGTATAGTCGTTGCTTGGTAACCGTTTCGGTGTGCTGCCTCACCAAATCCCGATGCAGTTCTCTGCAAAGAAGCAACTGAACCGCAATGTACCCCAACTCAAAAATAGAGCACTAGGAGTTTCACACTCACTGAACTGCCGGGTGGTTCTTTTCTTTTTCCTCGTCCCGCATCCGCCACTCGCGCTCAATAGAATCCAGAGAGAAATTGGACAACTCTCTGGCGAATTCCTCAAACGTAAATGGGCAGCTGGAAATCGCGTTTTTCAAACTCGCACTCAGTGCTCGTGAAATCTAGGGAAAGTGCGCACTGTTATTGTTATGTAAGAACCGATCAGACATGAAAAACTGAACTAAAAAAGCAATTCAGGAATCGTTAGTGTTGGATGGTGGAACACGCTGGTGCGTGTTTATAAGCTCCAAGCTTGTAAGAATGATGCAGGCGGCGGCGTGATCAACCTGTGAGCGCGCAAAACTAAACCGACCAATCAGGTGAGTGGGTGGATGAGTGAACTAACATTGCCACAGTGTCACAATTTCAAATTATTAGGGGGAGGACACACACTTACGCACGTACATACTCACACGTGCAGGCCTTTCATGAGAACAAGCAAAAGATATGGTATGTGGCTAAGTAGAAATCTTCATATCGATTTACTACTTGTTTGCAAATACAAAGGAAAATGCAGTGCAGTTTAGGGTGGAACAACGATCGTGGTTACTCATAGCTTGGTAAACATTAGTTTAAAGCTGCTTTGAGTGAAAGAAGACATCGTTAACCTGTTTGAGTCGAGCATGGATAAGCTTAACATTGGCTGGCTACTTGACTATTAGTTGCCAATCAAAGCTGAGAATTCGGGGCTGTGAGAATTACGATTAATGAAAAATTACCGTTTCCAAATCACATGGTTCAGCATTCAAAGCAAACCAGAAGTCGTAGAAAGTGTCAAAACAGTGAAGGAAGAGCTCTAGAAAGACCGAGTCTGCGTTGGGTGAACTCTGGAACAGTAGGGGATTTAGCTGTTCGTCCTCCGCGATGGGGTTGCCTAAGTAATCCAATCAAGCACATAAAAACTTTAAAAAAGAAAACTTTCTGGCCGATCGAATAGTCACTAGCATGCTTCCATAGAAATCCACTTCACATTTTGACAATAGTTAGAGGAAAAAGGGATGCTAAAATACCAGACATAACTAAGGGGTAGAAAATCCTTCAATGGTACTTCTACATTCATGCCCGTACCAAGTCACATTACCGTGGCAACACGATATGCGATGGGGCAAGTCAAGTGCTGCTACTACCACTGACCAGTGTAGGCATGACATCATCAATCAAGACGGCAGACGACTGTGGCAGCAGGG